TTAAGGTTGCGAATTTACCAGGATGTCGTTTATATTGGACCGGACTAGCTCTGTCATTGCAGCCTCCCCCCTAGCTCCCCCGACGACACAAGCGAATATGTACATCCGTTGCCGGGGTGGGTGGTGCGGGCTGGCAGCTTGATGGTTGGTCGGTTGGCCGTCGAGTGGACGGGAGGTAGAGGAGTTACCCGAATAGCGTATCTAATCACAGCGTGACATGTGACAAATAAATGCTGGGCCAAGTGGTCACCCTCGCCACCCCACCACAGCACTGCACTGTTGCACCCCACCCGCACCCCTGAAGCGTTCTCCCAGCCACAACAACACAAAACTTGCCTTGGTCCACGTCCATAGCGGCGAGATAAGCCCTCTCGGCCCGTGGCCGGGATCGAACCCTCGGCGCCATGCGCACAAGCTGGTCAGCGGTGAGGCGCGGGTCAGGGGGTCAGCCTGGTGCTGCCTGCTGCCTGATGCTGCTGCTCCAAACCTCTTTGTGCTGCTCCTGCAGACTGCGCGGGACTGCCACCCACCGCCCCGTTCCAGGACTGAGAGGGCAGCACGTGCACCCTTCGATGTAAACAGCGCAGGGTTGCCAACCCCTCGGGGTGCCGGGCCCGCGGTTTGGGGTCAGGCTCGAGCAGCCATACCTCGCTCGTTGCTCGTGCGACCTTCCTGCGTATACGGCGAGGGCCTCGAAGTGTTGGAGAGGGCCGCGAAGACGGGCTGGCCGACGAGAGTCCGCCCTGGTCGCGGGCCGGACCGCCCCGCCCGCGAGGTTGGCAGCACGCGGCCCGGGGCGCGCGCGCGGTGTCGCGGGGAGGACAGAGAGAGCCCCTGGAGAGGGTATCGATCTCTTTGAATGCGCGCGCGCGTCGCGTGACGTCACCGAAGGGATGGCGGGCGAAGCGGCCCCTGGCGCGAGGCTACCCCGCGCCGGCGTCGCGAGTGTGGACCAAACAACAGCCACCACCCCCTTTGTCCCCATATCTCATCTCGCTCCTTTACATGTGCAAGGGTGATATTAAGCATGATTGGACACGCGTAAACAGGGGGTGGGGGTTGTTGTTAGGTCCACTTTGGCTCGTTTGGGTCGGTCACTTTCGCGCCTGTGTTCGTTGGGTAAAGTCTTTGAAAACCAGGGGGGGGGGGGCACCTTAGACCGGGGCATATACACTTTCGGTCATAACTCAGACAAGGGACCGGATAGAAGAAAGAACATCCCTTTTTCAAGGATTCCTCGGCAAATTACAGGCGCTCGGCGCCTGCGAGACTCGGGGTAGGCCACCCCGCAATACACCCATGCGCTGTAGGCGAGATGTTGCCTACCCATCAGGCGTCATGAGAGCAGTTAAATACCGGGCAGGTTTATAATGGAGCATGGCAGGCGTACTTTCTTGAGGATCCCGGATAATTTACTCACAGAGGCCAGCGGCCAAGTGGCCGTGGCGGGATATGACTTACGTGCACCACCCACGGGAGGCACACCAACTCAAAGTCCAGGTGGCGTACTGAGACTGGATTATTATTTGTTCACCAAAATGAACCGCAACCTCACTCAGCAGACTGCAAAAAAAGAAAAGCGAGACGACGAAACTAGACAAGACAGCAACAACAACAACAACCTGCTAATACACGCGGCCGGGGCACAGCAAAAGGCGCCACCTGCTGCCCCTTTTACAACAGTGGCCGCCGTCGCGCGGCCGCCGCATGGCTCCTTTAGGAGAGCGTGGCGGGAACACGGCGCGGCGTGCCTTTAGAGGAGGCTCCAGCCCGCCGCACAGTGTGCGCGGGTGATCTATAATAGATCACGGCGATGTATGTGCAGTTCCATCGGCTGGCGAGGTGGCGCGGCCGCGGCCGGGGTCAGGGGTCACCACCGCGACCGACCATCCCGTGCGCGTCATCGGTGTCCAACACACACTACTTCATGGTGTGTGACAGGAACCTCATCCGGCCGCGCGCCGCACTTTCTATAGCGTGCGGCAGAGAGGATGTTGTTGTCTTTGGCGCGCGCGCCTCGCGTGGGCCAAAGAGAGGTCCGCGCCGGCGTCCCCGCGTGCCCGTGATGGCGCCCGCGATAGTGTAAGCCGCACCTCGGCGCGCCGTGCCGTCCGTTACCCTACGCACGAGGTATACAACACGCACGCCAGTAGTGCTCGTTGTCGTTGAGGTATGGACACGACGGAGGCGGTCTAGGGCCGTATCGGGAGCGCGCGCGGGTTTTTTTTTGACAGCAGCTCAAGTTCGATCTGAAGAAGTGCTAAGACTCGAGAGACGGTCTACGTCGTCAGTGTAATTCACGTCACCCTGGCGTGCCCGCGGCCCTCCCTCTTGCACAACTGTAAGCAAACACTGAAAAAACTTGTCTTAAAAATGTGAATTTTATGGTTAAATATTTTTACAGCCATCTCATCATCTCAGATTCATCCCCTTTCTCAGTATGTGGGACTTCGAAAGAAATCCGTGATACCGAAGTGTCGAAACAAATGTAATCATTCACGAAACTTTTTGTGGACATCTTATTTGGCGTGTTTTACATTGATGATGCGACGGCGTCGGTTAGTAGTTTGCCGTCGTTGAGCAACCACCGCGATGTACATTAATCACATCAATTGTCGCGGTGATTGGCCGCGCGGGCCGGCCGGCCCAGCCATACAAGGTGATACAAAATAATAATTAAGAAATGGAACGACCTGACGTGCAAGCGGCCCGGCCCGCGCAATCGGAATGCCGCGCACTGAGTGACGTTCGGCGGGGCGGGGC